GACCACGAGCTCTCCTCATCCATCCCGACGAATTCTCCCAGTATGTCAACAGAGAGCTCCTTCCAGCTCTCCTCTTCACCGGAGAACTGGGCGCCGTCCAACCAAGCAGAACCGACCCTTTCCGCGTTGTCGTCTGGAATGTACCACGTCCCGGAGAACATCCCACGGCTGTACCAAATCCAAGAAGGACTCCGCACACGGTCGTGGAACGCCCTTCACCGAGGCCATGGGAAAGTCGTACAGCACATAGCAATCCCACGACGTCCTCCTCTCACCGGGTACGAAATTTTCCCCTATCCCATGGGGGTACCGACGAGGAGGAACCACCCGTCTATCGAAGAAACGAGGGAAGAAGGAGTCGAGGGACCCAGGCAACCCTCCGCCGCGGAACAACTACTGGCGGGAGTGTTCGACACCGGCCTGGAACGCCTCCTCCTAGTGCTCGATTTCGTACAGACGAGGGACAGAATAACCGAAGTAGCCGCAGAACTCGCCGCGCTGATTCGGAGGCTAGAAGAAATCGCTCTTGGACTCGATCCGAGCTCGATGCATGGGATGCTCTAGACGACCCCGGAAATTACGACGACGCCGATCCCTACTATCGACCTGACGAAGGAGGCGATGGCTACCAAGGACCATATGATTACTAAGAAGGATCAACTGCAGGGCAAGAAAGGGGGTAAGGAAGTTGAGGAACTCCTTCCCACAGAGGGTCCGAAATGACCTTAAACTACAATCGTCCGCAACGACGTAAAACTAGGATCGTCCCTCAAGACGTTAAACTGTACGACCTCGTCCGAAAGAGACGTTAAACTACCCCGCGTCCGGAATGACGTCTAAACTATCGGACCTGCATGTCTTAAAACTGTGAAAAGATAAGAAGGCAGGGGAAGTACCTGACCATTAGTCCTAGGTTCAAATGATGGTACGAATCAAGGACAACAGCGGGCATAATTCCACGTACGACCTACGGCGGAACCTTTCACATCCTCGCTGTCAAGGAGTTAATCTGACAGATGCATCGAGCGTCCCATTTGGATCCTCAGTTTTACAGGGTTTTTTCCGCATTAGGGAACCCTCTACATGACATATACTCTACTCGTAGGTGTCGACAAGCCGGCTCTTTGCCTTGGTACAGCAAAGTGCCCATACATAACCGGTTGCAAGTCCGAGTCAAGAAATTATGATGCACAACTCGTTAAGTGAACCCTCACAGTCAAGGTCTGACTGGTGTTTTGGGACGTCCCACTTTGGATCTCCCGTTTTACAGGATCGTTTCCGCATTAGGGGATCCTACAGCTGGCGCATGAGATGATGTAGAGAACGGGCCACCTTTACTTCACAAGTCTTCCTATAATGATGCGAGGCCATAAAACACATCCGGAACGATGTAAAACTACCAAAGGCTTGGTCCGCAATGACTATAAACTACTAGGGTCCGCAATGACGTTAAACTAGTCTTTGTCCGAAATGACGGAAAACTACCCACCGTCCGAGATGATGTAAAACTACCATTGACCCAAGGAGCGTGGTTGTATTCTGGAGAAGCACGGATTTTCGGGAGGATCCGCATCGCAGAACCCTGCCTATAAGAGGTCGAAGCGCTTCCGATATTCACTCGCTTTTCGGTAAAAGAATATCGGGTCGACTTGGTTCAAATCCAAGCGAGGGGTCTGGGGACATGGAAGAGCAAGCATCTCTTCATGGAGCGCTCAGTCTAGTCCTGGAGTTGAAGTACAAGAAATTCCGCTCCAAGACCTAGTCAGGAGGCAACTAGGACACGTGCCTCGAGTTGAAGATCTAGTAGGAAGGGACTAGACCATGCGACTCTCGTCTGGCCCACATAGCGGAAGAACGACAAGAGCGGGCCACTCATACAGAGAAGTCTATTCCGCCATTCGTCCGCAACAACGATAAACTACGAAGTGTCCGGGATGACGTTAAACTAAGCATTGTTTTTCCACAATATTTGTGGCGAAACAACGTCCGAGATGACGTTAAACTATTGTCCTCTCGAGAATGAGGATTGTAATGGATATCTCGACCAGATGTTCATTCGTCTGCAATGACGATAAACTATTGTCCCTTTCCACATAGGGATTGTTCGAGGCCATTTTTGCAATGGAAATGGCATCGACGTCCGCAACGACGGTAAACTACGGGGCATCCGAAATGATGTAAAACTATCGTCCCTTCGTTCTAGGGATCGTGCGTGGTGGAAATCAAGGTTATCCCCACGCGTCCGAAACGACGCTAAACTACTTGTCCCTTCAAGTATAGGGAGTGTGCGTGGCGATCTTGACAAGATACCGCGCGTCCGCGACGACGTTAAACTAGTGCCCCTGGACATAGGGGTTGTCATTGATGTCCAATCCCCTAGACACCAATGCGTCCGCAATGACGGAAAACTATTTGCTCCTTACCGTATAGGAGTTGTGGATTGACCGCCATGCTGTCAATCGGTCCGCAATGACACTAAACTACGTGCTCCTTACCGAATAGGAGTTGTGGTTGTTGACCAAGACCGTGGTCATCAACCGTCCGAGATGACGTTAAACTACTCATCCCTTTTTGGTACAGGGATCATCGGTCGACATCATTCTTGACGAGAATGTGTCGACAACGTCCGAAAAGACGGTAAACTACCTTCATCCTCGGAAGGAAAAGCCTATCGTGACTCGAGGGACATAGTCAGACGATAGCTCGCCTAAAGCACGGCGTTAAACTGCAAGTCGCCTACCTCACGGCGTTAAACTGAGCGGTCTCCTAATATTGAGACGTTACAAGTTATCCGGTTTGATATAGCATAAACCGTTCCCATCATGCCTCAGTGGAAATCTGTGGGACAAAGTCTGGTCTAGGGCCCTATGCACATAACCGATGAATGGTCCGGCGTGCAGAAACATCTTTCCCCCACAGATATTCCATGTTGATGATGAAGAAGGTCCGCAAATGACCTAGAAGTAAACTACAAGGCAGCGCAGGGCGCCTTAATACATCCGCAACGATGTAAAACTACTGTCGTCCGCAACGACGATAAACTACGGAACATCCGGCAAGACGTTTAAACTGCTATCGTGGATATATCTCGCAACCCGACAAATATATCAGCTGTGGTCTTAATGTCCATTCGTGCAAAACGAACGGGCCGATCAGGAGAAGGAGTCAGACTCCTCCTTACTCCTCACGGCACCCTTCAAGTCTAATTCTCTTCATATCCTTGCCTCAAACCCAATACGCATAGTGAATCAAACAAACTCTGGACGTCGAACTAACTCACCGGAGATGAGCCCACCGTATGGGGGCGATACTGCTTGGGATTTATGGCTGCAACCTCACCGGAGATGAGCTCACCGTATGGGAGCGATACTGCTTGGGACGTTAAGATGGTAGTCTGGGGAAGTAGGCCTAAGCCTTTGTAAAGCGATCAACCTACTTGTCCGTGGACGCCATCCTCTGAACGCCAAGAGGAACAACAAAAATCACGAGGATAACGACTATCCTGGAAACACTGAGGTTTGGCCCTCGGAGAAGGAAGAAGAAGAACCTGATGCCACGAACTGGAACCCACATGCTAGAGTTTCTATTCATCCACACACCACTCGCATTCATACGCCTTTCTTGACACCTGTCCGGAGACCGACTGGACTGACATCCTGGCTTGAGAACCCAGGAAAGATCACAACAACCGAGGGGTGAAGGAAGAACATCCTACAGAGCGGAGGTTTGGTACCCTCACGACTCGACAAACAAACAGCTCAACGGAGATGGAAAACTCCTAGAGGATCAAACGACGTAAGTCGGTCTTCCTCCCAGAAAACGAAGTCATGTCCCGGAAGTCGCATCCGGAGACCAATTTTTGGATCAAGAAAGCAAATCGTATATGGAGTGGCGATGAAGCGCGTAGCGCTGTCCTACCAGGTGAATAGGACGTAGAAAGGGGGTATTGTTATGATCACGTTCTGTCGGGCCTTAACGGCGGTCTATACCGACACGATCATCACAAATATCAAGCGGCCTCACAAGGAGAGGCGTACAAACAAGGTACAGATAGTAACCTTGGTCATCCACTCCCAACGGATCACCTTATCATTGGTCGAGTATCACGGGCCTATTGCGTAGCGGGCATGGAACGCCGCCTTACAAACTACTCACACATCGGGCATTGAGCTCCTAGTCTTTCCTGGCCGGAAGGGGACTAACGGAGAAGCACAAGAGTAGTCGTTATTGAGAGAGACGACTTAGAGAAATACCTACGGATACATATACGGTATTCTCACGCCCTATTTCCTAAAGTAGTATAAAAGGCCCATAGAGTAGGCTGAGGTTCTTCAGTCTATTCTCTTCGTTCTCCTGTATCTTCACATACAGGAACCTTCGTTCTTAGGCAGTCTTCACACTGTCTACTCCACTCGCTGTAGTCTTCCTACTACAGTCTTCATTGCTACACCGCAATACATCTCTGGCTCCTGTGCTACACGTACAGTCGAGACCATCGTTCCACACATCCTCCACGAGTGACCTAGGGAAGAACCTCCTACTCTTGGGGTTACCGAACGAGCAGTTCGTAACAGTTGCCTATATTATGTCTACTTATTTAGATTACCAAGTTTATATCTTAGACCTTGTGGCTTAGTGGCTTAGAGCATCTGTCTTAGGTGCTTGCATACATGAGGTTGTTGGTTCAACTCTGGTAGAAGGCAAGTTTGTTATAAGGTATATTCTGTGTTTAGGTATTGAACTAGTGCTCTAATAGACATGACTCTATAAGAAGGCTATGGGAACTGTGATGCTTGATTTATTATGATTTTTCCAAAATTTCAAGTTATAATCCATCTTAATAATTCCTAATTTAGGAAAATTATATCTAATTAGAACAGGTTTAGAGGGGGGGTAAGCTAAAAATGTCTAATCCTAATTGTTCTTAATTATGCATAAATAGAATTAATTAGAGCTTAATACAAAGGGGTGGTTTTCCAGATGACATCTTCGTTTCTATATTATCTATGCTCAATCTGCAAGAGCACAGTGTATAACTGGCTATGAGAGAAAACTAGTAAAGTCAGATCTACCACAACCTTGTTGAGCATTGGGCCTTGACAACTATTAAATGTAGTGCCATACGTAGGTGTAAGCAAAAACTGCCTTTTAACTAGAATATGTTCTAAGCAAAGAGTTTGATGGGATAAAATGCAAAAGATAGTGATTGACTCAAGATCAAGATATGCAGGCACCAACCTCATATCTAAAAATGGACAAAGAAGACAGAAAGTCACAAAATTTATCCTAATGTCTACTATAGCCAAGTGAGCATTTTTGACAAGTGCCTAGTCAATTGAGAGTTTGCACAATAAGTGGGCCATGACTCTTCTCTTCAGTATCACCTAGTGTGCAAGAAGGCCAGGGATAGAATGTGATGTAGCCTAGTTGAGCATGGCATCTAGCAAGGCAGTTTGCATCTCTGTGTTATCAACTTTCTTAAGAAAGTCCAAATCCATGTATTGTTGAGGCAAGACAAGCATCCAAGAGACAATTGAGTAGTTATATATATCAATTTGAGTATTTGTCAGAGCCAGGATTGCATAGTGATAAGTGCATCACTCCTCTAAGCACTAAGGCCTCTATTTGTATAGCTCTATAAGTACTATTGCCCTACTATTGTGCTTATCTTACAAAGTCCTATAGCCACTACAAGAGACACTTGGGCATTCTTACAGTCTTACATAATCTCCTCCAACTTTATCTAGAAAACCTCCTCTCTTAATTAGATCTAATTATTCAAAATGCTAATCTGAGCTAATTATAATATATTATCCATAATCAACTTTATAATTAAATCTACAAGTAAAGGTAACATTGTTGATATTACTATAGTCATATTAGAATCTACAACCCAATTACAATTTCACACATTCCAAATCCAAATTGTATAAGTACTACAATCTTATTTTTATTGTATTCTTTATTTTCTATTGGTTTACTATATTATTGTCTAGTGTCCAAGTTTAAATATTAAAAGCCCTGATTTTTAGGGTATTTATTGACCCTTTTATATATTAAATAGACAAAAGATGAATATGTAAAAAAATTGAAAAATTGAAATTGCCTTATTTATATTAACATATTTAGGTTACCAGGTAAATAACTTAGATCTTATGGCCTAGTAGTTTAGGAGCAGTGGTCTAGGGTATGTAGGCATGAGGTTGTTGGTTCAATTCTAGCAATGGACAAGTTTACTACAAGGTATGACTTTAGTTTGATTAGCAAGCTCTATACATACTCTATGATTGAAGGTGTAGTAATAGTAGAGAAACTATAGGACTAGATGAGTTGATATTTTTCCAAAAATCCGTATAATAAATTAGCTTTAATTAGCTTTAATTAGACCTTATAATTTTAGGATTAGAGGGGATAAGCTGAAAATCCTAAATAGTAATTGGCAAAAATCTAGCTATGTTTATGCTTAACTATGGTTAATTTGATGTGGGACTTTTCCCTGATGTTAGTAATTCAAAGAATTCTTAAAGACTTTTCTATTAGTAGTAGATGTGAAGAGAAGGATTCTTGTAGGAAATAGGTATGCTCTGCTGGTCAGTAAAGTTACTGACCAAGAGCATGAATATCTAGATGTATTGTATCTTTCAGAAATAAAATTACATGGTATACCATCACTCTAAATCAAAATAATGCTTATTGGCAAGAATAAAACGCCCTAGTGGATAGTGGAGCCACTAGAGTATTTATACATCCTTGCTTTATTAAGATGCACTAGATTATAACATAGAAAACCCCCATTCCCATTCTAGTTAATATGGTCCAAAATACTAAAAATTAAAGAAGGGCCTATTACAAAATTTGTAAAGCTAAAACTTCAAGTTCTAGGTAAAAGGGAAGGATCACACATAGAATCAGCCAGATTCCATGTGGCAAAAATAGGAAAAAAAGACATTATTCTAGAAACTAACTGGTTATTAGAGTATAATCTGGAAGTTGATTGGTATGCCTATGAGCTGCATTTTACTAGATGTCTATCCTTTTGCCAAATTAAAGGATGGCTAATAAAGGCCAAAAGAGCCACAAGAAAACTAGGATGTCCAAACCCTAGCATATGGCACATAGAGACAGTACTATAAAAAAGCAACTATCCAATCCTATTGTAAAAGCTAGAAAAAGCACTGCTAGGTCAGAAAGTAGGAAATACCATAGTACTACTCCCATGGACAATACCTAAACATTTGGAGTTCATAACTTAGGCCAACTATTATAAGACTCTAACATAGGCTAAGAAAGACATTCTAGAAGATAATGACTATAATATGGCACTCCCTTCTACAAACTTAGAAGACAGAGCATACCTCATTAGATGCCTGGACACAGGAATCTTATAGGCTCTAGAATTATATAATAATATAGAAGGTGTCAATATACATTACACCAAAACTATATAACTTTCTTGAGCTAATATATTGGTCTCTGGAAAAGAATTTGTCAAAGCCATAACTAGAAAACAGACCAAATATACCAACTTACAATGATTGGTAGAATAAGTTGCCAAAGGAAAACCCTAATTAACCTTTGAGGAAATAGTGCCAAAAGAATATTGGGACTGTTAAAAAGTTTTTGAGGGTAGACCAAAAGGATAGCTACTATTATAAAATGCTTGTATAATAACTCTAAGAGTAATGGATTCTTCCTTAGGTTGCACAATAAACAGAGTAGAATAGAAAGTCCACTATATTACAAGGGAATACAGGGAATATAACAAAGTAAACAGTATAAAAGACTGTTTAGGTACAAAATAGACAGTATAAAGACTGCCTAAGAACAAAGAGAATAGACTAAAGTTCCTTAGCCTATTTTATGGGCCTTATATACTATGTTGGGATATGTTCTAAAATATTCTAAGTATATTCCCTTAGTCATCCTATAACTATTATTCTTTATTAGCACCAATTCTTGTGCTACTCATTCATATCTATCTAACCTAGTATATAATGGCAAGCATACCCATGTAGCCTAATAGTCTTCTATTTACCCATAACCCTATTGCATCCCTTTATTGGTGATAGTGTAATCTATTAGTTATATTAGCCTTTGGAGCATTTAGAAAACCCCTTTCTTATCTTTATGATCAAATCTATAATAAACACCATGTTGATTATGATTCTAGAGTTTACTTAAAATCTATAACTTAAGTACAATAATACAGACTCTAAATCCAAATTATATAAGTGCCAGAATATATTTTTATTCTACATAGAGTGTATTCTTTATTTTTATTTAGTATATTATATCCTTATTTGGTATATAAATTGAGATTATAAAATCCCTGATTTTTTGAATATTTTTTGATCAAAAATAGATCAAGTATGGGTGTGTGAGGTTAGAAGATTGAAAATATTAAGATTGCCTAAATTATATTAATATCTTTGAATTACCAAGATATTAGTTTAGACTTTATGGCTAAGTGGCTTAGAGCATCTATTTGGAGTGTGTATAGTTATAAGGTTGTAGATTCAACTCTGGCCAAGGGCAAGTTTTTTATAAGGTAAGACTTTAGGTTTAGATATTTAAGTAGTGACCTTTATAGATATCTCTAGGTTATGGATTATAGTAATATCAAGAAATGACAATGCTATAATAGATTCTATTTTTCTGAAATCTAACTCACTGATTAGCTTTAATTAGCTCTAAAACAAAGGAGGAGTAAGCAAACAAATGCTAATGCTATTTTAGTAAAATTTCATAAAATTGTCAATAATTAGAGCTTAATACAAGAGAGGCATTTCCTAGATAAGGACAATACCAGATACCTTATTGTATGCTTTATATAAAGCTGCCTAGTATTTATTGTGCTTTTTATTAGTTATAGATATTCTAAAGGGCCTAATAGATCAAGTTACAACAACATTTCCTTTTGATGTTTCCATGCCTAGAGAAACAACTTAGAAGTTTTATTGTTATCCTATGTATAATTTGCTTTCTTGATCCAAAATATAATTAGATACAACTTCTAATATAACTTTGTTTTCTAGGGGAAAGCCCAACTTACATTATTGAATCCCCTAGGAGTTTTTTTGTCTCTATTAAGCTGTTTGAGTCAAGGACCTTGGGTTTCCAAGCCATGCCTCATCTAATATTTTCCTTTACTAATATATTTTGTTGTGAAGCATTAATTAAGACCTTCAAACTAGGACTCCTTGATATAGTGTCAAAAAAGGCTTAAAGTATAAATGATTCTTTGATAAGTAGAAACTCATTAATATAGGTGTCAATGCTTACTTGTTGTTGTGCTTTATTTCAAATACCAAAGGTCATGGTAGTGTTTCTAGAGTAGTTGATCCTTAAAATGCCAAGGGGGTCCATGGATATGTAGTTTAATTACTTACTAAAGGCTTAGGCCTACTAACCCTTGTTATATTGCTTAACTAATATAATCTTTTTCTGTACTAGCAAGATTCTTTGAAGATCTAAGGGCCTGACAACCCTATATAGTAGCCTATCCTAGTTTAAAGATTATGGTAAATATCTAGAGTTTTGCTATGTTACTCAACTAACATATTTATATGCTATATAAGGTAAGGATTTGAGCAAATAGACTTTTGAGTTGTTCTATTGGCTTTACGCTTAGTATAAAGGAGTTTAAACCTCTATAATTGCTCTATTTATTTTTATAGTAGGTATCTGTATCAATAATAAGACCTTATATTGAATAGACCAGACTTTTGCCTTATAAATAGACTGAATAGATTTTTGAGTTTGATCTTAAATAGACTTATAACCTATAGATAGTGATTATGCAGGATCACTATAAGGTATGTCCTTATTTATAATAGTTTAAACATTGTTTCTAATGGTTTGTAGATTTATTGTTTTTATAGATATCTTCTAGTTTATCCCTAGGTTATTTTGGACCCATAAAGCATCTGGAAAACCCTTCCCTCTTATTAAATTATAATTATACATAATTATCAACAATGCTAACTAATGCTAACTATAATATATTTTATCAAATTATTATTAATTATAATCATGATCATGATCAAATCTACAAATCAATATAATGCTGTCTATACTACTAGAGTTATTCTAAGAAAGCACTGCTTTAATTGTTATTTTACATACCTAAATTAGATTAAGTAAGTGCCATAAATATTTTCCT